AACCTGCTGGAGTAGAGTCAGGTAAGTAATGCAGAATCTTGAGTAACCTAGGTATATGTGACCCCTTGTCTTATAAAACAACCCATTCAGTTTAAAATAGAAATGAAAGAAAAAATATTTGTGTATACATATAAAAAACATTATACATACCCTTTTTACTTTTTTTTTTTTTTTTTAATAAATGATCACATGATCCTGTTCTCAGCTGCTTAAGGGGCTTAGAGAGCTAGGAGCGGAGAAACAGCAGCACACCGATCTTCTTAGTGAATGGCTATGCAGGAGGTATCTCAGCACAAGTCTTGGCCATTGGAGGACAGGCAAGCTGTTCTCCCAGTACAGTCAGAAAATTGTCTTTGCTGGGAGAGCTAAACCAGGCCATGCTGGGGTGAATGCGCTCTCATGCCTAGCATGGTCTTTTTGAAATAGGAAAGCAAGGGGGACTGGCAGGATCACCAGGTATTTCACACAAAGGAAGTGATAGAAAAGGCTTCTTTTTAACACAAGTGCATGGTACAACAGACATACAGTAAATCAGAAATATGAAATGTTGGGGTAACATACACTGATTTTTTTGTAGTGCCATGGGTTAGGCTTTAATGAGGTGTTCCTTATATTTTTAGAAAATTTAAAGAATAATTAAAAACAAATAGTCATTAATTTGTGTTTTATATCTGGTAGATATTCAGCTTTAAAGCCCTACTCCAGGATCCAAGTATTCTGGAAGGATGGGTTAGATGGGGATTTCACGAGGAGTTGGGCTTTAAATATAAATCATTTTTTTTTACTATGTATCATTTTATTACTGGTGTATATCTTGTCAAAACAATAGTCAGTGTGAGTCACAGATTTACTTAAAATATCCATACGGTGATTCTTAGGACTAAGATAACTCCAATAAAAATAACCTCATGTCACATGAAAAGAGCTCAGTGTACAGAGAGCCTACCATAGACCATAGAACAGAGAGTGCTAGAACTGTGAAATGTCTGGCTACAGGCAAAGGGATGCCATAAATAATCTATGTTGCAATTTCCCATTAACCAGTCAAATGTCTCTTAAAAAACAAAAGAACTTTAAACTCATTAAAAGGAAGGGTTATGACCTTCTGTTACAAAATCAAGGGTCGTCTTATAATAACAGTAATAATAAAAATGGGAAGAGAAATAAGGTGCGGGAAATCCAGTCCCATGACAACGATTTGCATTCCATCATCACTTTGTCAGGACATTTGCCATTTTTTCCCTGTGTTTTACATTTCCAGCTGTTAGTGTTCAAGCCTGTGTACAATTATATTATTATAAGGATAAGTTCACTTTGAAGAAACATTTCATATCATGAAAGGTTTTTTTTTTTTCATTGTTTCAATTAGGCAATTGATGAGATACAAGCATCTGAACATTATAGAACCCAAAGTGAACCTGTAACCATGGCAATGTAAAAATGTCTGCCTAATTGCATGTACATCTGCATATTCTCAAAGCGCATTCGGTATGTACCAAAACCCTAGAACTTGGACTGTCATTGTATGCAAACACTAAAGTGACACTAAACTCTGGTTTAAAAAAAAAAATGAAGTTTGTATCCCTGACTCAACAACCCATTCTATTACTCTCAGCCTCCTTCAAATCCCATAATTCCTCTTTTTTTGTGCAGTGATCTAACTTCCTGTTAGTGGGTGGCTACATCCATCCAGTGGCGTCCCCAGGCAGGTGTGGGGGGTGCGCGCTGCACCAGGTGACACCTAGCGCATGGGGTGACACTGGACCCTCTCCACGAGCTCCAGGAAAAGGAAAGTTTTAAAGCAAGCCGACGATCCCCGCAGGATGGATCGGATCTGTGGATTGAGCATAATAGATCAGAGTCCAATCCATTATGCTCCCCAATCTGCAGATCCGATCCATCTTGTGGGGATCGTTGGCTTGCTTTAAAACTCTCCTTTTAGTGGAGCTTGTGGAGAGATCAGTTAACCCCGTATAGGTTGGAAGCCGATGTACCCTGCAGGATCGGATCTGCGGATTGGGGAGCAAAATGGATTGGACTCCGGTTCATTATGTTTAATCCGCAGATCCAATCCATCCTGCGGGGAGCGTCAAAGGGGTGACCCCAAGTGTTACCGCACCGTGTGACACCAACCCTAGGGACGCCCCTGCATCCGTCCATGGTCCCCCTGTATGTAGGAACATAGCCACCCTCTCTTACTCTCTCTTGAGATGGACTAGGGACTATGAAACTATGAGATGTGTAGTGTAATAGAGCAGCGTAACTGACCAAATGACCGCCTCTATCATACACTGCTTGTTCCAAACAACAGAGGTAAGATGGGGAAAAGGAGAGGTTTGGGAGTTCATGAAGGATGTTACAAGGAGGCAGAAAAACACAAGAATAATTGATTTCATGAAAGATAGATTACAGAGCCATTAAGTAGCTGATGTTTATGGATTATTTTGGAGAATAAGGATATCATTTAGTGCTGCTTCAACTTAAAGTGGTTGTAAACCCTTACTTAGTGAAGGGACGATCCTCAGGTGGTACACAGATATGAAACAAATTTTCCTACATAAGTTTTGCCTGTTTATCTGTAGTCTTCTCCTCTCTACAGCTGTTCAAAGTGCTGCAAAAGTTTGTCTGAGAGTTCAGAAAAAATGGAGCTGAGAGATGAAGTTAGACACTGCAGGGCTCAGTGAGGAGAGATCTGAGAGCTGATTGGAAGAAAGAGACACACCTCCTTCCCACAGCTCACAGGAACAGAGCTGAGGCTGTCAATCTGCTGAAGGTTCCTCCCCTGTCACCCATTTTTCTCTTGGTGTCAGGAAAACCTGCCAGAAGTGATTCATGTTGATAGCAGAGGAATGAAGCAGCAGACAGAAATGACACTTAGTGCTATTAACTGAGACAAGACACACTGTACAGGGATATGCTTTGTTCATATTTTATGTCTGAGTTGACAACCCCTTTATGCTCTGGCCTGAATCTCCCTATTCCATGCTGCCATTTTTTAGCCTAAAGGTCTTAGAAACCTATGTGCTTGTATAAACAGATGATCACAATTTAACAGAGAAGTATGAGATCTCTTTTTTTTTTTTTAAATTATACTTACCTAGGTGGATGCAGCATCAGTCCCCCACTGGCTCCAAGGATGAGAATGCAGCGATCACATGACTGCTGGTCGCTGAGTTCTCACAGCCGCTCTGTACAGACAGTGGTGACTGTCAGTATAGTATACTGCTAACTGCTCTGCATATTGCTAAGAAGCTGAGCCTGGTGCTGCTGCAGACTCTGGGGTGGATCCCAACTTTAAAGTCAGGATCTTTCCCCAGCCTGGACTGGCTGAGTGACATCAGCCGACAGCAGGCTTCAGCCCTCTGTTAGCTGAAAATGGGACACAGGAGTGCAGAACGAACTGCACTCCTGTGATCCACAGGAGAAGTACAGCCAAAAGAGCTTTGACTGTACATCTCCTTTTACTGTTATTTTTTTCTAGCAATGAATATAAAAAACATTTCATGAGGGATGCCACAAGTAGGAATTTGAGAGTTTTTATGCAAAAACAGATACTATAAAAAAAGCAAACATGCCACACGCAAGCCAAAGTCCTTGGAATTTGACGCGAACCTTTTGTCAAATTCACAAAACACATGAGTTTTTATCCTTCCTCACCCCAGCAAAAACTTCTAGTACATCCTCATATCTCAAACTGCAACTCCCTCCTCACTGCACCCAAGTGCAGGCTCAGCTCCAACCATGAACAGTCCACCTGTTTGCCACCCCCCTCTGTAATCTAATATCATGATGAACTAAGTATCTACACAAACTGCTATGTTTTTCTGCATTTTTTATTATTCTCCATAGACTGCAGTGTCTCCCCTCTTCTATTCCCAATAACTGTGCTACCATTACAAAGGAAGCTTCAATGCTTACTATACAGAGCTCACTCTGCTTCATGCTGCATCAGCTCAGTTAAATATTTTATGGCTGAAAGTGAATTATGAAGCTCTTGGCCTTTTAAAATGACTTGCAGTACATCTTGGGAAGTTTGCTGAAATTCTGTATTAAAGAGAGCTCCAGCCATTTTTGTTTTTATTCAAAATCAGCAACTACAAAAAACTGTAGCTGCTGACTTTGAATAAACACACAGTTATCTGTACCAGAGTCCAGCGATGTCCTCACGGTGCTGGAATCTCAACTGTGGGCACCCGGCTGTGACAGCTTGTGGCTTCACAGCCTGGTGCCCACTGCGCATGCACGAGTCGTGCTGCGCCTCCTAATTGGTCCGGCAGTCTGTGAAAGTTCCCAGGAGACTCCGGGAGGGAAGAGGGGGCAAACTTCCGGCTCACTTTGCCGTTGCGAACTGAGTTGGCAGTAGGAGCAGGTTCCTGTTATGTATCCGCTCCCCCCCCAAAAGGTGCCAAATATGACAGTGGGGGAGGGGCAAATAAGCGGAGCTTCCGCTTTTAAGTGGAACTCCACTGTAGCCTCCCTAGTGGTATGATTATGTCAGTATTTCTGTGTTCAAAGTGGTACATTTTTTTGCATGGAAATATGTAGTTTTTTTATTGTAGGCCTGTAATTTTTAGGAATAACTCACTGAAAGCTGTCCGAACAAGAGTCTAGTAAACATTCCGGGTATGTTAAAATTTGAAACACGAAATCATAAGTTATAATTTAATAAATAATCAAAAAAATAATAATATAATAATAATACATTTAATTCAATAATATAATCAAACCAAAAACAGTGACATTTGAAATATAGCGCCAAGTTCGCACATCACTGAGCAAAGTCGCAAAATCGTTTTCAGTGTCTGATGACGAATTTCTCCACGAATCATTATCACTCAATTCTGCAAGTGGTTCTGATTTACTATCGCTTTCTCTAGCTGGTCTAAAACCACTTTTGACCTAAAGGGACGCTTTTTGGACACCATGGACATTTCTCAGTTTCCAGGCAGAAAGAACAGTAAAAATGCAGGCAGGGCACAGGACAAAGCACTAGGGACAAAATGTATGTGAAATGGTTTGATACAGTAATGTTTTACTATGTGATTTTAGTGTATTTAGTGAATGTCACTTTTTAAAATTTCCCACCGGTTACGTCTCGTACATCCCGACGTCGCAGGGAACGGAACCCAGAAGACAGATGCCGGCATTGGCCGGAGGACATGGCCGGGGATGCTGCAGGGGGGACATCGTGGAAGTGCAGGACAAGGTAAGTGATTGAGGGATCCCAGAGCAACGCTGCAGGGTATTGCTGAGTGTAGCTCAGGGTTACCGCTTGTGGTACTGAAACTTTACCCCGAGCTACACTCGGGAATACCGCCAGGGAGGTTAAGTATTATCACAATAAATACATTGCTAAGAGACAAAGCCAATGCTAGACATGCACTAGTAGATTTGCATTAGAAATTTTTCATTTCAAGAACGTTTGTTCAATTTTCTGATCATTAGCGGGGTCAAATCAATGGTCGTTTTTGACCGCAGTGACCAAAAAATTCAAAGGAGCAGGAAGGAAAATTTTCAACCATGAATGTGGTTTTCATTCAGTAAAGTCCATTCTCTTATGAATTAAATGTTAAAAGCAAACACAATTTTGAAATATTTCCGAATGACATTCGTCAAGTCGATGAATGTACTTAGAATTGTCGTACAAAAAGTCGACTGCCGCTCAATGGAAGACACTGCATGCCACTGCAGTGTGGAGTCATAAATGAAGTGTCTCTTTGGATAGAGAAGGAAGGTTAAGAACCTCTGTCAAGTTTTTGTTGCTATTGAGTAGATTTCCCACTACCTTTGTCTCAGTGACACAATAGGAAGTAAAAATATCTCCTCAACGGAAGGATACACACAGCAGCAAAGACAAATCCTTCACATTGACAGACTGCCAGACAACAATAAAAACCTACAAAGAGGATTATTACCTTACATTTTTGTGGGATTTTTAAGGCAACCTTGAAACATATACAAAGAAGTCATTTGTTAGAAAAATCAACATTTTATTTGAGCAAAAAATAGTTTTTGTTTTGACACATTGAAGTATATCAGATATGTAGCGCATACTTGACCAATAAAAGCAATGGTTTATAACATTTACTACAAAGATTTGTGGTTTATGCAGTATGTATCCAGTGGTATCCTTCAAAAGCTGTTTTCCATCTTGCAACCTCAAGTTTGACTGCAGATATATTCTTTTCTTTCTGGAGTGGAGCCAGGTCTGTTGTTTTTCCTGCAGGGTTCCCCTTGATTGGGGACTAGGGGAGAGGGCTTTGGTTGTGGACACTCACCCAACACCGTATTCTGACCTCTGTGTGGGAACTGTTGCACAGCATCACCGTTCATGTTGACATGTGAGTTTGTGGAGAATAGTTTCTACAAGGTGTATTATGTTATGTAACACTGTATTTATTTGATTAATGATCTATATGTATAAACATCTTCCAGTTAGGGCATCTGATTTCTTTGCCTCCAGTTTTGGCATCCTGAAGAAGCGAATGAGTGAAACGCATTGACCTCTGGAGGATATTGATGTCACAGAACAAAATGCTGTGATTCTTTTCGGCTCACTAGCCAAATACTGTTTTATACAATGTGTTTGGAAGATGTATTTCAATAAACATGTTTTACGTAAAACATGAGTTTGTCCGCTTTATGTACCAGTAAAGTCCCATCAGGTATTGTGTTCTATAATAGGGATGAGGTACACATGCAGTCAAGTATAATATAATATATTGACCTTTAACAATAAAAACCTGACATAGTTGTTAGCCCATCACCACTCTATTCATAAAAGTGCTTTTATTAAAGAAATTCTCTTCACTTACTGTTCCAAAAACACAACAGGAAAAGAAGTTTAATCTCCCCAGAGGGGTGCAGACAGCATTATAGACCTGGTATCTATCTATTAACAACTAGAAAAACATTTTTGATGGTTATACTTTAATTAGTTCCAGACTGTGGCCATGCTAAACACGCCAAATCTTAATCTTAATCTCTCTACTGTGCTACTGGGACCCCCTGCATACAGCAATTGTCGGCTTTGTATAATCAAAGCTGGGATTGCTGGGTACTTAGAGAAGGTGTGAGCAGCTGCAGCTGTCAAAGAAAGCAGTCTGAGTCAGTGTTTATAAACAACACTGCTCATAATATACAAAGATACAAAGCAATATATTGTTACTTTTGTATCATCTGCAGATCAAAGGAATGAATGCATGAACTTATGTCTGCAGATGATGTAAACAGCAACCTGACAAGTAAAATAAGTTTTTTATTTTTTTTTAATGTTCCTGTGTTTAATCCCTTATTAACCCTTAGTTTACTCTAATCAGCCCTGTTTAAAGTGATATTAAAGCCAGATTATTTTTAAATTTAAAATAACAAACATACTATGCTTACCTGCTCTGTGCATTGATTTTGCACAGAGCAATCCTGATCCTCCTCTTCCCAGGTCACCGAATGGAGCTCCTAGCCCCTTCCTCCTGCCAGATGCCCCAAGAGCATGCAGCTGCGATGGGTTCACCCAAGCAGGCTTGCTCCCAAGTCACTGCTCTGTGGCTCTGTGTGTCTATTCACACATGAAGCAGCGGCTCTGCCTCGCCCCCGCTCTCTCCTCATTGGCTCACTGATTGTGATTGACAGTAGCGAGAGCCAATGGCTACTGCTGCTGTCTCAGACAATGAGGAAGGAGAGATCCGAGACAGCTGAGGCTCCCATAAACATCGCTGGATCAATATGGGGCTCTGGTAAGTTTTATACCTTCATGCAGAGAATGCATAAAAGTAAAAAATGTGAGCCTTTACAACCACTTTAAAGTGGCGCTCCAGGTAAACTTAAAAAAATATTAAAGTCAGCAGCTAAAATAACTGTACCTACTGACTTTTAAAAACAGCCACTTACCTGTCCCATGATGCAGCAGTGTACTTACCGCAGCGAGCTTCATTGGCCGTTTTTACCCCCAAGCGCAAGCATCCTAAGTGTCGGCACCCAGCCATGACAACTTGTGGCTTCACAGCCGGGTGCCCACTGTGCATGTGGGAATAGCACTGTGCTTTGTGAATGGTCCTGTAGTCTTCTGGGACCTGTCACGTGTCTCAGAAGACTACAGGGAGGGGGAAGGACAACTTTCACTTCCAATTGCCTAGGCGGTCACAGCAGAAGTGGAAGCTTGTACCTGTTAAAATCAGGTACCTACTCCCCCTCCCCAAAGTTGCCAATTCCTCATGGGGACCAGCCTACCTAGCGGTCTGATTATGTCAGTATTTCTGTGCGGTACATTTTTTTGCATGGAAATATGTATTTTTTTATTGTAGGCCTGTAATTTTTAGGGATAACTCACTGAAATCTGAACAAGAGTCTAGTAAACATCCCGGGTATGTTAAAATTTGAAACACGAAATAATAAATTATAATTTAATAAATAATCATAAATAATAATATAATAATAAATGTAATTCAATAATATAATCAAACCAAAAACACTGAAATTTGAAATATAGCGCCAAGTTCGCATATCACTGAGCAAAGTCGTAAAATCGTTTTTAATGTCTGATGACGAATTTCCCCACAAATCATTATCACTCAATTCTGCAAGTAGTTCTAATTTACTATCGCTGTTTTCTAGCTGGTCTAAAACTGATTTTGACCTAAAGGGAAGCTTTTTGGACGCCATGGACATTTCTCAGTTTCCAGGCAGAAAGACCAGTAAAAATGCAGGCAGGGCACTGAACAAAGCACTAGGGACAAAATGTATGTGAAATGCTTTGATACAGTAATGTTTTACTATGTGATTTTAGTGTATTTTGTGAATGTCACTTTTTCTAATTTTTTAATTTCCCGGCGTTCCATCCCCATACGTCGCAGGGAATGGAACCCAGAAGACGGATGCCGGCATCGGCCGAAGGACATTGCCAAGGACACTGCAGGAGGGACATCGTGGGAGCGAAGGACAAGGTAAGTGAAGAAGAGATCCCGGAGCAGCGCTGCAAGGTATTCCTAAGTGTAGCTCAGGGTTACCGCTTGTGGTGCTGAAACTTTACCCCGAGCTACACTCGGAAATACCGCCAGGGAGGTTAAAGTGGAACTCCCCCCTTTGGGCGGAGCTCTGCTTTAACTCCTCATTCTTCTCCCTTCAACTAATATTTTCCTGCTTTGTTTCTATTTTTTTAACTAATGATATTTAAACTTTTTTGTTTTTGCTTTGTTTGCTAATAATTTTACAAATTTAACATACATTTACACATTTCGCATTTTGTTTAGTTTTGTTGCATTTTATTGTCCATGGATTGCAAAAAAAAAGACAATATCATGAAAAGAAAGCCTTGTTTGTCCTTAAAAAACAATATATGTATTGCCTTGTTATTTAAAGTAACCACAAAGTTATTGCCAAACAAACAGGTCTATATCAGAAATGTAAAAATTGCTCTGGTCGATAGGGGGTGAATAGGTGTGAGAGGCGAAGTGGTTAAATAAGTAGGATCACACCTTTATAGTGCTTCAGCATGTGTAGCATTCATTTTGAATGGACTGCCCATGCACCCCAATGTCTGACTCTCTTTCAGGGACACAAAATACAGTAGTGCACTCTGTATGTTGCACGGAGCGTCCCGTGAGGACGTCCTTAGTGACGAAACGCATAGAGCGTGGCCTACTGGATGCCGACGTCTGGGAACAGCTCTGGGTCTGTGAGCAGGGGATCCGCGGTGAACGGCGATGTGTCTATGTACCTCTGCCTGAGTCTATGCCTGTGATACTGGTGTCGGTGTAGACACCTTAATTGTGAGTGTTATTCATACATTAAAGCTTTTAACGATTTTTTAACTTGCTGCACCATGATCTCTTTCTTTTTGCCTTTGAATATGGTCCCAATGGTACGGAGATATATGATAAAAAGGTGATATATACCCCTGGAAACTATCCATATCTTTGAATGGTGGCCACTCATCCTAAGGGATACCGTTTGTTTGCAGACCATTGCATCCAAGAACTGGACTGGTATCTATTGCTCCCAGAGCAAAAGTGCTTTTTGCTGGTCCAATTGCTGATCAGCATTGAGCTCTGGTGAGTGACCCAACTTTTTTTGGTGGTGGATTTAGCACGGTGTGGACATCACTTGATTTGAAAAATATTTTTTGGACATTTATTTATTTATGAACACTTCTTTGTTTTTTCACATTTTGTCTTTGTCATTTATTTAGTTATATGTTCATTTAGCACATTCCTTTGATTTATTTTGTTTGATCAACAAATTTATGTGAGTTTTTTGAAGTAGGAATTTGCTGCTTTAGAGGTTTTAGGGTGTGGCGCTTTTTAACAATACTCGTCTCTTCTCTTTCTCTGTCTATCTCTTTCTATGTCTCTCTCCTTCCCATCTTTTTACTTTTGTGTTTTTTTTGTTTAGAATCTTTTCACCCTTTTCTGGGGCCACATTCTGACAAAAATAAAAAAATTGGCGGTGCAGCTGGAGGCTCAGTTATTCCTCCTACCCTGAGTTGAGTGTCCTTAATGATATGGCCCCTCTTATGTTTGTTTCTGGCCTTGTGCTCTTACATGCGAATGACCAATGTTTGTTTAGGTTTTGGATACAGAATTCTTTTGAGATAAATGGTGACTTATATGCTATATTTGTAGAGGTCTGTCTCTATATACTGTTCATTTCTATGGACACTGTTATTGATTGAACTGTTGTCGAAAGCTGTTACTAAATAAAGAATTTAAAAATAATCAAAATATGTTGCAAACGGGTAATTTTTCTCCTTCACTGATGTGCGTTGATGAGGCTGCACTGATAGGCAGCACTGATGGACACTGATAGGCAGCACTAATAGGTGGCACTGATGAGGTGGCATGGATAGGCAACATTGATGGGCACTGATAGGCGGCACTGATGAGGCGGCACTGATGATGCTGCACTGATATGCAACACCAATGGGCACTGATAGGTGGCACTGATGGGCACTGATAGGTGGCACTGATAGGTGGCACTGACTGCTGGCACTGCTGGGCACTGACTGGCGGCACTGCTGGACAGTACTGATGGGTGGCATGGATGGGGGCACTGCTGGCACAGGTGGGTGGCACTGCTGGGCACAGTTGGGTGACACTGGTGGGTGGCACTGCTGGGCACCGATCATCACCCTGATGATCTGTGCCGATCCATCCTCTGATATTGCCGGGTATCGGCAGTACTTTCCTCACACTGTGACAGCGTGAGAAAAGTGCAGCCGATAGCCGGCAACTGCATTTACTGGTGATCTGATGTGTCATTGGACACATATGATCACATGGTAAAAGGCCGCTGTGATTGGCCTTTTACCACATCACGTGATCAGCTGTGTCCGTAGGTCACAGCAATCACGGAGATCATCGGGGGTGCGCCAGAACTGGACAACTGTTCGGCTATAGCACGGTTGGCAAATGGTTAAATAGGAGTTATTTGCTAACCTGATATATATTGCTGAAGGTATATAAAAGTGCAAAATAAGATGAGTTATTTCATCTGCTGTAAGCTACATCTGACATTATAACAAAGCCATGAAAATCATTTTTATCTTCCTATCTAACGGCAGTAATAATGAAAAACAAACACAACGTGTCTGCTGGCAATGCTGTGCTATTATCCCTCCATTTAAAAATATGTTTTGCCAGAAATCAAACCAGGTTTCTTATCATTTATATTTACATTGTAGAAAAAAAAAAACCTTTCATCAACACTTCAGTGTTGATTTAAATTTTGTGTGACTTATTGTATGATTCTTGTATACTGATAAAAAGCTTCTTTGAAGTAAATGAGTGAGGAAATAATAATACTTTCAGAAGCAGGAAGGACACAAAGCCTAAAACTTTCTTTTTAGTTTTGACTATATATGTCAGTTATTTATTTTGGTGTCAATGTCCTGTTGGGGAAATTTCCCTGGATACATAACAGGAAATGTCTCCAGAGTAAGGTCAAATGTCCTCTAAAACAGAAGAATTCACAGAGCCACTGTAATGAAGGAGAGAAAAATATTACTTTGCAACTTACCTCCTTCCCCAACCCTTCCCAATGATAAATAAGGTGACCCCATGATCATAGGGTGCATGTTATATAATAAGGGTTCACACATGTGGTGCCCTCTGAAGGACCATCTATGTTTGGAAAAACTCTATAACAGCAGAGTCCATCTGAGAATCACTACTTCAGAAACACAATTCAAAACTACCTGGAATTATCCTCATAGACAGTATTTTGCTCAATGAAGTTCAAGGATGCTCTGGTAACACAGTAGAACAGCTTGAAGGATTCCAAGGACAAAGGGCCACATCACTGGAACCGGAGTACTGTGGTAGCAATCAGGAGGGGCTCCCCACAATGGCTGGGTCTTCTGGAGAAGCTGTGTGCTTTCAGGCTCTGGACTTGCTGTTTGCACGCTGATTCTGAGAGTGGAGAGTCTCTCAGCTGGATACAATTACCTGCCCAACAACCTCTACTTCATCAGGTGTATCCACTCTCTGCTGAGGGAAGGAAGCTGAGGAATTATACCCTATGGGCATGTCCCCTAGCTACATCGCCAACCTCATCCACAGATACTGCCCAAATCGCCCACTCCGCTCCTCCCATGATATCTTCCTCTCTAGCTCCCTTATCACCTCTTCCCACGCTTGCCTCCAGGACTTCTCCAGAGCCTCTCCCATCCTCTGGAACTCCCTACCACAGCATGTCCGGTCAGCCCCCACCCTGTCTGCCTTTAGGTGATCTTTGAAAACCCACTTCTTCAGGGAAGCCTACCCCACCTCCACCTAAGAAATATACTCCCCGGCCACTTTATTAGGTACACCTGTTCAATTCTTTGGTAACACAAATTTTGTAATCAGCCAATCACGTGGCAGTAACTCAATGCATTTAGGCATCTAGATGTGGTGAAGTTGACTTGCTGAAGTTCAAACCGAGCATTAAAATAGGGGAAAAAAGGGGATTTAAGTGACTTGGTTGTTGGTGCCAGATGGGCTGGTCTGAGTATTTCAAAAACTGCTGATTCACTTGGATTTTCACACACAACCATCTCTAGGGTTTACAGAGAATGGTCCGAAAAAGAGAAAATATCCAGTGAGAGGTAGTTGCATGGACGAAAATGCCTTGTTGATGTCAGAGGAGAATGGGCAGGTTGGTTGCTGCAACATTCAACAACCAGTCAGAATTTGGTGTAAAGAACATGAAAGCATGGATGCATTCTGCCTTGTATCAACTGTTCAGGTTGGTCGTGGTGTAATGGTGTGGAGGATATTTTCTTGGCACTAGCAAGGTGTATCTAATAAAGGTGGCCTGTGAGTGTATATTATATCACTACATTATTGGCACATCAGAAGCAGTGTCATAAATGTGTCAAGCTGTTAATCTTAGAAATGCAACACTTTTGTGATCTATTTCAATCATCAATATTACATCAGCTTAAATAAGGTCACAGGAGTGAGAACTAAAAGATGATTTCACAGTCACAGAGAAATTAATTAAATCCTCCTACGGAAGTTGTGCCTTCTCTCCTCTACAGCTTTCCAAAGTACCAGATCAGATGGTATAACTCGGCTTCCAGGAAACAGAGGGAAGGGATCTGATACCACACACTGCACAGCACAGAGCTGAGTGTAATCTGACACCTGAGTGGAGTGAAAAGACACACCCCTTTCTACACAGTCTCATAGGAAAACATGCACCTTTGAGGCTGTCAATCACATGCTGTGTGCTAAAGCTGTCTTTCCTAATGTAGGGAAGAAGAGATTCATAAGGAAGGAAAGCACAGACAGGATCCACACTAGGTGCTATAAATCGAAGCAAGTAGACACTTTATGTGGATATGCTTTGCTCATTTTTCATTTCTGATGTTTACAACCACTTTAAGCATTTTGTTTACTTCTGTATTTAGGGTCCATACATGCTGCCTTAAAAAAAACGCTGCTCCTACAGGAATTTAGCAGTTTGGCTGTAGAAGCAACTAATGTTATCCATGTGTTTATGACGTTAGGTCGTTTACAGGCATATTTTAGGCTCAGAGTTTAGAGGCAGAAAAAAACCCATCCTGTTTTGCATTTTTAAGAGCGG